CCCAAAGATGTTCACCTCTAGCTCTGATGTGATGTGTGGTACAAGTTGTAGAAATAGTGTCTGTGGCCTATATTTCCCAAAGATGTTCACCTCTAGCTCTGATGTGATGTGTGGTACAAGTTCTAGAAATAGTGTCTGTGGCCTATATTTCCCAAAGATGTTCACCTCTAGCTCTGATGTGATGTGTGGTACAAGTTCTAGAAATAGTGTCTGTGGCCTATATTTCACCTCTAGCTCTGATGTGTTGTGTTGTTGCAGGCTCCAGCGTGATTGACACCTGGCCGTTGACCCGGGCGGTACAGGACACGATGCAGGTGCCACACACACACGACCGGCCCGTGGCTCAGGTGAGAGAGAAAACAAAAGTGTACATTAAAATGTTGGGTATTTTAAACTGCAGAGCAGAACACATTTAGCCACTGAGACCGTCGCAGATCAGTTGTTTTCAAGAATATCTCAAATGTAATGGTCAGATATCACATTATGGGGAAATACAGGGGGGGGGGGGGTATGGAAGAAGGGGCAAAAATCCTCAGGTTCTTAAAAACGTGCAAAATATTACTCTGCAAACAGATCCCCTGTTTTTTCTTTAGACACTTAGAAAATACACTTACCCTGTTTTTTTCACTTAACCCTTCAGTTGTAAACATTAGCCTGTCATCATCCCCAGATTCTGTACAACAAAGAGCTGAACCAGGTTGTCTCTGCGTGCACCGAGTCTGTCATAAAAGTGAGTATGTGGACAGGAAGGAGTCATTCTTATTTTCATTAACTCTTTAGGGAAGTATTCACGTAGCCGACATTTACATCTGATCAGCAGCAGTCCAATGCTTGTAGCAATGTAGCATCACATTTTGTACCATCAAACTCAAATCAGAAACATGAATTCGGCCTGATATGAAGCATAATCTGCTTGCCATTTCAGTTTTCATATTAAGGAAACAAAATTGAAAAAAAAAGCTGTATGAGTATTGAAGCTATGCTTGTTTTAAAAGTGTCACAAAACAGCACGTCTCAAAGTTGTTGAATGGCCAGAACACTCTTCCTCAATGAGCTTACGTAAATGATTTGGTGAATAATGATTGGCCTCTTTTTCTATTTTCTTATCTTAAATTTTTCTTCATGTACGTCAATTGTTTCTGTACCTCGAGTAAATACTGTTGTATATGAATCATACTACATTAAGTCAATTATAGCTCTATAAGACAGTTTCCATCTCTGATGGCCAATCTTTTGTGCCAGGTGTGGGAGATGGACAGTGGGAAGCTGGTCTACTCTATCCCCGAGGCGCATGGACCCAACATGGAGGTCACTATCCTGGCGCTGGACAAGACTGGCTACCGACTGGTCAGTGGTGCCTTTGATGGTGAGTGCTGCAGAAGATATCTACAGTGGGGGTTTTTCTGTTGTTTTAGTTTTGTTTGCTTGTTGATACATAATTTCTCCAAATTCACATTCCCGCAGGTTCTCTGAAGGTGTGGGACTATAATTTCTCCTAATGTGTCACATTCCGGCAGGTTCCCTCAAGGTATGGGACTTCGGGGCAGGCCAGCTGATCAAGGCCAAGCTGAACCCAAGCGGGTCGATGGAGGAGGATCTGAGCGTGACAGGGCTGGTGTGTAACAAGTCCGGGGACGACTACTACATCATCGCCGCCGGCTGGAACAACAAACTCCGCATGTATCTCGTGAGTTCTCAGAGGATTGGGGGGGGGGGGGTGGTTTCCTTCTCTTTCCTATTAATTGTGAGTGGTTGGAGGACACCACTGTTAGGTGCTGCTTCTATGCTAGTCTTTTCCTCTGTTGTTTCCTTCAAAATGTTTTCTCTGTGGCAATGCAAAGAGATTTCAAGAAAGGTTACGTGTTGAAGAGGAAATGTTTGTTTTTAGGGGAAATTTAGAGAAAGAATAAGAGAATTACGCTATATTGTTAGGTTGAACAGAAATTGATGTACAGAAAAGTGGGAAGACATGGAATAACATCAAAAGGCTAGCCCAGAATAGAGAAAGGTGGAAGGTGTTTGTCCGTGGCCTATACCCTGGTACAGGGTGAGAAAGGCAATGATGATGATTATGTTGAAACTTGTAGTTGTAAGATTCCCCCTCCCCATTTTATGTAGAGTGCAGAGATTGTTCCCTTTTCATTTTATGAAGAGGTCAATGTGTTCTGTTCCCAGGACTCCCACGACAACAATGACCTTGTCCTGCTGCGAGACTTCTCCGACTTTTTCGTCTTGCTCCGAGAGAGGAGTAGTCTGGCCGGCACCAGCTCACCCAAGTCCCAGAGTTCTCTCTCAGCCCGCGACCCTTTCCCGCCCACCGACCCGCTGCCGGACATTGGTCAGCCCAAGGCTCAGGTCACCCGACTGACGGAGAAGGAGGTACGTATGTTGTTGTTGTTGTTGTTGTTGTTGTTGTTGTGGTGGTGGTATTGTTGTTGTTGTTGTTGTAGTTGTTGTTGTTGTAGTTGTAGTTGTTGTTGGTGGTGTTGTTGTTGTTGTTGCTCTGTTGTTGTTGTTGTTCTTCTTCTTCTTCTTCTTCCTCTTCATTGTTGTTGTTGTTGTTTTTGTTGTCATTGTTGTTGTTGTTGATAGTCCAGTAACCTTTGAACGTGTGACCTTCGGCCCAATACCTTGGTAGAAAATGTAAGTTTAAGTAAAGAGAGGCCCATCAACACAATAACTGTCATATTATAGAGCAGGGAAGAAGCGAGACAGATGGGCAGAAACAGCAGAGGGAATCAGAAAGAAAAGAATTAGGACCGACCTGTGGTGCCCTCCAACCACCTGCTTCAAAATAGGTGGAGGCTTTGGATATTTGTTCCTTGCTGCAGTACAGGATATTGTCTTTTTTACTTTGTCTGTCCTCATGTTGTACAAGACATCAAGGGAAGATATAATTGTCGGATGTGGGCCAGGTGTGTTGTCTTTTGGATCATTCTGTTGTTCCTTTGGAGAGTCCCTTTGACTCTATATATCCATCTTTTTGTAGGCCTTCGTCTTACCTTGAATCCTCATAATCTCGTGATATAGGCCTTTGATGCTGGCTGTTGTGGCCCCATTCCCACAATGTTTCCAAACCCTTTTATTCGTTATCTGTCGGTTGCTTTCTGAATATTTGTTGTGAAATCAGGCACTTGTCAATTTTTGGGCATGTGGAGTTATTGGTATCACCTGAAGGCTGATTTATTTGCCTCGCATCCAATGAAATGAGTATCTATTTATCTTGAATAGAACTCAAGATATCTGCATTTGAAGGAAGTGAGGTCGCCTGGTTTCAGTGGTGAAATTAGCGAGAAAATGGCCGCCAAAGTTTGGTAACTTCAATAGCTTAAGAGTCTTTGAAAATTGAAAACTGACTTTTTTTGTACTCTTAATTAATGTTTTTCTGTAAAATTCCCATGGATTTGTGTTATTATGTGGACATAAAAGAGGTTAAGCCAAAAAATGAAAATTCGGTAAAGATTTCCAAACTACCGGAAAATGCCTCTTTTGTCCGATTTCGTTATTTTGAGGAGTGCCTGATTTCACCACGTTGCCTCACATTATATTGGGTTTTTAAAAACTTTTTTTGTCCTTTTGTACTACAATGTGTCAAGGGAAGATAAAATTGTCGGACATGTGTTGTCTTTTGGATCTTCATCTTGTTCCTTTACAGAGTCTCTTTGACTCTTTCTCTTGGCTTTCCTCTTGCCTTCAATCCTTAATATCTAACATTGTGGTCTTTATATAGTAGAGGGTTTTACGGTGCTCGCAACTGCATAAGGTCATATGAGCGTGTGGGTCTTTGAGGCTGACTGTTGTGGTCTCATTCTCATATGTGTTAAAACCATTTTATTCGTTAGCTATAGATTGTTGTCAAATATCAACTAAAACAAACGTTTTTTCCCCCGGACCATTCCAGTGCCAGTTGCTGCTGGACCACGAGCTGACCTGCATGACAGTGGTGACCCCTGACCTCATCGCCACTGGCTGCAACAACGGCAACATCATCTTCTGGTCGATAGAGAAGTCGCGCGTAGATAAAGTGTGAGTGTGATCTACTGGTCTATTTGATAGAGAAGTCGCGTGTAGCTAAAGTGTGAGTGTGATCTTCTGGTCTATAGAGAAGTCTCGTGTAGATAAAGTGTGAGTGTTGTCTTCTGGTCTATAGAGAAGTCTCGCGTAGATAAAGTGTGAGTGTTGTCTTCTGATCTATTTGATAGAGAAGTCTCGCGTAGATAAAGTGTGAGTGTGATCTTCTGGTCGATAGAGAAGTCGCGCGTAGATAAAGTGTGAGTGTTGTCTTCTGGTCTATAGAGAAGTCGCGTGTAGATAAAGTGTGAGTGTGATCTTCTGGTCTATTTGATAGTGAAGTCTCGCGTAGACAAAGTGTGAGTTTTGTCTTCTGATCGATAGAGAAGTCTCGCGTAGATAAAGTGTGAGTGTCCCCTTGACTTCATTTCAAACTTACAACATAGTGGGCAGTAGGAAGAAGAAGAAGAAGAAGAAGAAGAAGAAGAAGAAGAAGAAGAAGAAGAAGAAAAAAAAGGAGGAGGGGGATGGGGGAGGAGAGGAGGTGGAGAACAATGTTAATTTAGACAGCGCCTAATCACTAGAAGACTACTTGTTCAACTTATGGCCTAATTAGTATCATGTTGTTGTTGTTGTTTTCAAATCCCTTTAGTTGCAAGCATTTCGCTCTTGGCAGCGCTATGCCTCCTTCAAGTAACCACATGTCCTTGTCATCTGGTCAACGCCAGAGTAATTAGTATCATAGAATGTACATTTTTTATGTCGTTCTAATTTTCACCTAAAATACTTTAAAAGAACATTCATTTAATTAAGTCCATTTTTCAACCTAGTCCTTCTCATCATTGAAAAAAGTGACCCTATGGTGTGTCCTATTCTATTATAATGTGCCCCATGTTTGGTCTGAATGTTGAATCTTCACAGGTAGTAAATAACTTAGTTTTGTTGACCTTTACATCTGCAGGTACATCTTGCCAAAGGAAGTTGGGAACAAAGCCAAAACAGGAACTGACAGAAAAGTCAACGAAATCAAACTTCTTGTACATAAAGTTCGAAAACTGGACCCCGCATATTTCAAGTAAGTCATTTTGAAGTTGAGAAGCGTAAACAAATGTTGGAATTGCAAAATACACGTTTTTAGCCACAGCTCCAATAGCTGAGTGGTTAATGAGCTGTGGAAAAGAACCACAGTAATGTCGAACAAGTGTCGGTGACAGGGTGTTTGGGTAGTCACTGGGGTGTGTCCTTGGGCATCTCGTGATAACTGTAGCTGGAAAACAGGGTGCAGCAGAGTAGCGACCTGCAATGATGTTTGGATTGTCTGTGTTTGTGATATTGTGCATTCTTCCTGCATTTATCTGAAAATGTACTTGCGTATTTATTGTGTGCGTCATTGTAAAAGAAATTTCACGAGGGGATTAATGAAGGGGAATTTTTGTTTATTTATTACGTAAATAATTCTTTTATGTGGTTCAGAAAAATGACCCGCCATCGCAAGTCAGACATTGAGTCAATATCAGGCAAGAGCAACATGTCCAAGAAGTCAAGGTCATCTTTGTCGGACAAACCTCTGGATCCACAGGTAGGGAGCTAGATAATAATAATGATAATAATGATGATGATGATAAAATTACATAATTTGTATAGCAATGTGGTTTCTTAGGAGACTGCTAAGAGTATCGTGGAAGGAAAAGAAATCAAATGATGTAGTGCTTGATGAAACCGACGTGGATGCTCAATGTTAAAAACAATCAGGAAACGACAAATGCAGTTTTTGGGACACATAAATAGACATAAGGGTCTTGAACATTTGGCTCTCACTGGCAAAATTGAGGGCAAGCGAGGCAGGGGTAGGCCCAGTACAACATACTTAGGGAACCTAAACAAATGGGTAACTGGGAAAGATCAGGGAAACGTAGCTTTTTTTAGAGCATTCGAGGATGATGATAAAATAACATAATTTGTACAGCACATTTTCACAAGGAAAGTGCTCAGTGCACTTTGTAACAGTACAAAGAACTTAGCTCCAACAGTGATCCTTTATCCTTTCTCTCTCTCTCTCTCTCTCTCTCTCTCTCTCTCTCTCTCTCTCTCTCTCTATCCATTCCCCTCCCCCTCTCTCTCTACAGTTTTGCTAATACTTCTCTGGAGTTCAGGAAAAATGGGCTACATGTGGGGATTAGCTCTCCTACTGTCAGCTGCAAAGATTGATCGCCCGCACACAGCACACATCTTGACCTGTAGATTAACGTTCAGAATATAGGACAAATTGGATCTGCTTTTGCAGCCTTCAAACTCAAAACAAGCGTGCCAAATATTAGCAGATTTTTATATAATTTTTTATGTATGTGTTTTTATTCCCCCCCTCTCCCCCCCCCCCCCCCCCAAAAAAAAAAAAAAGAAAAGAAAAAAAAAGAAAATTTTTTAAAAATGAATTAGATTATGTAAGAGGCGAGCCCCCGACCCTGTTTGTGAGAACCGACCCGGGCTGAGGGTGATGCAACATCCCAGCAAAAAAAATTAAAATCCCCACACGGCAATAGAAGTTGGGTTTTCTGCATGCGACAGCAAAGCACCTAACGGCTACACAATGGATGCCAGCATTAGTACTTAACTGTACCCATGTGTGTGCTTTCATGAATGTATACATGATTATTGCATGCTCGTTCTAACACAGTTGAAGATGGAAAAAAAAACCAATACATTGTGTCTTAGCCTTTGTTTGGTTTATCAAGCTTCAGCACAAGAGCAGAAGATGAAATTACCAAGTTGTGATTTGTATCTTTTTTATTCTCTCTGATTAACAATTATTATTTTTAATGCGGAGAATGGGACGCTCAGGTGAAATGCTGACCACTACTACAGTCAAACCTGTTCAAACAGCCACCACCCCAAGACAATCACCTGTACAAATGACCACTTACCTCTTCACCCCCCCAACCCCTTTTGGTTTTTTTATATTATACATGTAATTATGCCATCCAAGATGTCCATCTGTCTTTGAAAATCAGTTTTCTCCTCGACAATGGTTGAACATTTTGAACTATACCGACTTTATTTGAAATGATATGCAAAATGCATGTGCCAATTTACCTGGCTATTCATCAGCTACAACATTGCCTCTGTTGAAAATTATATATGTGTTCCGCGCTATGTACCGATCTGCGCAATCTTGCTGCTCGTTTTAGTTTTCGTTTTAGTTTTGAAGTACGGCTGTGGTCAGGCTAGCCGCCTATCAGTTTTAACAATCGTACAATTGTATCATTCTTGTGAGCTCTTCAGTTTCATAATGTTACATATTTTTACACTTTTCAAAATATATCTGAATATTCCTTGATGTGAGTAAAAGAATAAAGATGGAAGTGAATTTTTTTTTTTTTTTTATTATTTCAAAAATTTAAAATATTAACGCAATCTTCAGATGGCCACACAGCTATACCATCATTATAACGCGCGGTGCAATCTATGTGCCAATCGGTTAATAGCGCAGAACATATGCAAAATGTATGTGCCGATTCACCTGGCTATTTATCAGCTACAATACTGACTCTGTTTGAAATTATATATGCAAAATTATGTACCTATTTACCTGTCAATTTACCTACCAATTCATCAGATCCACGAGGAGGCAAGTAAACAGCTGGAGGAATTGGCTGCCAAGGTGGAGGGAGAAGAAGGATCTCAGGATGAACAGAAGGAGAAGACAGAGGAGGGGATGGATGAGGTGGACTCCGGGGAGGGGAAGGGAGACGGGGACGAGACGGACATTGACAGAGTGGCAGAGTCAAACCAGCCGGAGGCGAAGCAGGAGGGTTCGAGCACCGTGGACGAAAGTGGTAAGGGAAATTGTGCTGGATGTTTGTACAGTTAAGTGTTGGAGGGAATTTATTGTGCCCTACCGAGGAAGTAAAATGATTCAGTAGTGAGAAAAAGACTGTTTCCTTTCTTTGAATAATTGTAGCCTACCTACATTTTGTATTTTTTCTTGCTTTTTTTTCAACATTTAGAATTTGAATTTCAACTAAATATGTCTTTGTTTGTTTGTTTATTTGTTTGTTGGAGTAAAGAGAAGCACATCGACACAATAATGGCCATTTAGTGTTCTGGAAAAGTAAGACAGACAGACAGAAACAACAGAAGGAAAGTAAAGAAGTAGGACCTACCAGTGGCACCCTCCAACCACTCACACAGACAGACAGAAACAATAGAAGGAAAGTAAAGAAGTAGGACCTACAGTGGAGACAACCAACCACCCACAAAATATATCTTGAGCACATGCCACAAATATCACTGATTAAGAAACTGCTATTTTTTTTTAATTCAAAATTTTGAGCTCAATATGTTTGAACAGCTGACTGATGATATGCGAGGCAGCGTGGTGAAATCAGGCGCTCGTCAAATAACGAAATCGGAGAGACCGACATTTTTTTTTGCCAGTTTGGAAATTATTTTACAATTTTAATTTTTTGGCTTAGCCTCATTTATGTCAATATAAAAACATTCCTGTCTGAATTTTACAGAAAAATCTTGATTAAAGGCACAAAAAATGTAGATTTTCAGTTTCCAAGGACTCTCAGGCTTTTTTTTTTGTAGTAGAGGGTTTTATGGCGCTCGCAACTGCAAACTTTGGCAGCCATTTTCTCCCTAATTTTACGTCTGAAACCAGGCAACCTCGCTTCCTTCAATCCCAGATATCTCGAATTCTATTCAAGATATCTCGAGTTCTATTCAAGATATCTTGAGTTCTATTCAAGATACATGGATATTTCTTTCATTGGAAGCAAAGCAAATAAATAAATAAATAAATCAGCTTACAGATGACAGCAATACCTCCACATGCACAAACATTGACGAATGCCTGATTCCACCACGTCATGACACATTAAAAAATACATGAATTGTGAAAAGCATTACGAGTTTACTGTTAGTTATTTTGTTTTTCCTATTATGTAATAGTCCCTACCAAAACTGAGGATGAGGAAGAGGGGGAGGGAGAGGAGGCCCCGGCAGACGTCAACAGCAGCAGTCACATGATTGTGGAGACGTTTGAGCCAATCATTGTGTCTCTTCACCAGGACTCCTTCGCTCGCTTCTGGGACATGGATGTGAGTTCTGCCGGGATGTGTGTATGTGTGTGTGTGTGGGTGTGTGTGTGTGTGTGTGTGTGTGTATGTATGTGTGTGTGTGGGTGTGACCCCAGCAGACCCTAGAACACCGAGAACAAATTTGGGGTTTCTGGGAAGCATACAATGCAAGCAGCTCATTAAGCCCCCAAACACTAAGGAACTGACAAGATCTTTCTCCTTCTATAGCCGGGTACTCTTTCCCTGCTGGGTGAAGTGAGGAAAATTTGTCTAAAGTAACTTTCCCTAGGACATACCGTCGGGCCGTGGTGGATTCTAATTCATGACCTAATAAGTCTGTTAACAACTTCAAACATAACAATTCTTTGCCTTGTTGTGTGTGTGTTTGTTCTGTCTGTGTAGAAGATCTTTTGTTTGTCTTGTTTAAGATGTGCGGAATGTAACTATTCCTTGCCTGGTCGTACATGTATGTGTTTGGTGTGGAGAATGTAACTATTCCTTGCCTGGTCGTACATGTATGTGTTTGGTGTGGAGAATGTAACTATACCTTGCCTGGTCGTACATGTATGTGTTTGGTGTGGAGAATGTAACTATTCCTTGCCTGGTCGTACATGTGTGTGTTTGGTGTGGAGAATGTAACTTTTCCTTGCCTGGTCGTACATGTATGTGTTTAGTGTGGAGAATGTAACTATTCCTTGCCTGGTCGTACATGTATGTGTTTGGTGTGGAGAATGTAACTATTCCTTGCCTGGTCGTACATGTGTGTGTTTGGTGTGGAGAATGTAACTTTTCCTTGCCTGGTTGTACATGTATGTGTTTGGTGTGGAGAATGTAACTTTTCCTTGCCTGGTCGTACATGTGTGTGTTTGGTGTGGAGAATGTAACTTTTCCTTGCCTGGTCGTACATGTATGTGTTTGGTGTGGAGAATATAACTTTTCCTTGCCTGGTCGTACATGTGTGTGTTTGGTGTGGAGAATGTAACTTTTCCTTGCCTGGTCGTACATGTATGTGTTTGGTGTGGAGAATGTAACTTTTCCTTGCCTGGTCGTACATGTGTGTGTTTGGTGTGGAGAATATAACTTTTCCTTGCCTGGTCGTACATGTGTGTGTTTGGTGTGGAGAAAGTAATTTTTCCTTGCCTTGTCGTACATGTGTATGTATTTGATGTGGAGAGTGTAACTATTCTTTACCTTACTCTGTGTATGTGTCTACCACAGGGCGTGATTCTCCGCGAGATCTCTCCTCTGACGCGCCGTCAGGGAATTCCTGTGACCTCTCTGTGCCATGATGAGGACGTCAACATCCTGGTGATTGGGGACAACAGTGAGTGGGTGTGTCTGTGTGTGTGTGTGTATGTGTGTGTGTGTGTGTGTGTGTGTGTGTGTGTGTGTGTGTGTGTGTGTGTGTGTCTGTGCCATGACGAGGACGTCAACATTCTGGTGATTGGGGACAACAGTGAGTGGGTGTGTCTGTGTGTGTGTGTGTGTCTGTATATCCTGGTGATTGGGGACAACAGTGAGTGGGTGTGTCTGTGTGTGTGTGTGTATCTGTGCCATGACGAGGACGTCAACATCCTGGTGATTGGGGACAACAGTGAGTGGGTGTGTGTGTGTCTGTGTGTGTGTGTGTGTGTGTGTGTGTGTGTGTGTGTGTGTGTGTGTGTGTGTGTGTGTCTGAGTGTGTGTCTGTGTGAGACAACAGTGTGTGTCTATGCTATGATGAGGACGTCAACATCCTGGTGATTGGGGACAACAGTGAGTGGGTGTGTCTGTGTGTGTGTGTGTGTGTGTGTGTGTGTGTGTGTGTGTGTGTGTGTGTGTGTGTGTGTGTGTGTGTGTGTCTGTGCCACGACGAGGACGTCAACATCCTGGTGATTGGGGACAACAGTGAGTATTTGTGTGTCTGAGTGTGTGTGTGTGTGTGTGTGTGTGTTTATCTGTGTATGTGTCTGTGTGTGTGTCTGTGTGTGTGTCTGTGTCTATGTCTGTCTCTGTGTCTGTGCCATGACGAGGACGTCAACATTCTTGTGAGTGGGGACAACAGTGAGTGTTTGTGTGTGTGTCTGTGTCTGTCTCTGTGTGTGTGTCTGTCTGTGTTTATGTTTCTGTGTGTCTGTGTGTGTGTGTGTGTTTGTGTGTGTGTCTGTGTGTGTAGGTGTCTATGTCATTCTCTTTGTGTGTGTGTGCTTTGAACAAGATTGCGAGAGATTTAGAATAGATATCATAACAAAGAGTAGAAAACCTGACATGAAACACACAGAAAAAAAATATATTTAAAATAGAGACTTCTTTAAATGGGGGTTTCACTGAGGCAGGGAGAACTGCAAGACACTGATTATTTGTTGCAGAAAGGTCCAAGAAGAAAAGTCCCACTACTAGAAAGGCGAAGAAGAAGAAGAAGAAGAAGAAGAAGAAGAAGAAGAAGAAGAAGAAGAGGAAGAGGAAGAGGAAGAGGAAGAGGAAGAGGAAGAAGAAGAAGAAGAAGAAAAAGAAGAAGAAAAGGAGGAAGAAAAAGAAGAAGAAGAATTTTTTCAATGTTGTGTTCTTCTGATGCTGAAATTGCTGTAGGCTAAACAAGTACAATTTGCACAGTTCTTTTATTTTAGTGAAAAGCGATTCAGTTTCCTCCATCATATAAAATTTCCCATTTTCAGAGGGATACCTCACCCTGTGGGATGTGAAGCAGTTCCTGGAAGATCCCGAGACGGAAGATTCTGTGAGTAATAATAATAATAATTTAAAAAATAATAATGATAATAGATTGCATTTGTATAGCACAAATCCCCGCTCAACAGCAAGCTCTATGCGCTTCTCAATCTATACTATTACCCCAGCAGACTTGAGAACATTCTGAAACAAACTCAACTTCCTGGGAAGCATACAGTGCAAGCAGCCATTTATAGGCGCTAAAACACTAACACATACTGACAAGATCTTTCGCTGTCTAGGGAGTACAACAGACAGACTTTTATTGTTACCGTGGGGGGGGGGGGGGTAAACCTACTACGTCGGGCCCCTTCTTTGGTACTAAATCTAACAAATGGCAAAAACGTCATTAAATGGATCATTAAATCAAAACACACAACAAGTCAACCTATTTGGATAGTTCTTCATCTACCTATGGCACCTAGTATTGAACAAGGGGATTCTGGTAGAGTTTGGTGATACAGTGTATGATCTTCCTTCAAAGAAATGTCAAACTGAGCAATAAAAAGAATGTTGTTGTAGAACATGCGATGATTCAGTCGTTGAGATATTCACATAGAGTGGTATCAACGAATCAAGGACATCTTTTCGAAATGCTGTCACCTGTCACCTGTCATCTGTCAATATGGATGTGTTTGTCTGTCTCAGCCCCACCACTTGCCCCAACAGGACTGCATTTTCCCCAGTCTCTGCTTTACTTTGATGTTTCATTTCATAAAGTTGTAGACTACCCTTGGATTTTATGTTTTCAATGTATGGTGTAGGAGGTTGTTCTGTATTTCTCTTTGCCTCTGTTGTGCTCTGCAGCACGGTTGTCATCAGATATCTTTTTATGTTTCTCTTTTCATGACCAAGGTATTTGTTGAGTCTCCTTTTGCTGGTCTCAGATAACATACTGCGCTGTGTATCAAATCCCTTCACGACTTTTGTACTTGTTCTTTTATCAATGTGCGTTCTGGAAATCTGAATCTGGAATTGAAATGCAAGAGGTTTATGTGTCCTCAGAACTGCCTGAAACAACAAGTCTGTTGGCGCGCCCACATGAGCAAGATCGTGTCCCTGGTCTACGTGGATGCTCAGAAAGCCATTCTGTCTAGCTCCATGGATGGCTCTGTCAGGTAATGTATCAGGGCAAGCTGTTCAAATATACTAAACTTAGGGTGCAACTATTTCATTTTTTGAACATTTACTGACATTATGTATATTTCCTTGCTTGTTTGGGGGTTTGTTTCAACATTTAAAATTTGGATTTCGATTAAATATTTCCCAAACACATGCAACGGGTACCACAGATTTAAAAACTACATGAACAATACTTTTTTTTCAAAATTTAGTACATTTAGTGTATCTGAACAGCTGACTGACGATAAATGTGTTATGGGATGCACTCATATTGCTCCTCTACTTTTCTGGAGAAAATCATTCTTTGAAGTAGACAAATATTCCAGATATGGAATAAAGGTTTCTACTTAAGGAAAAGCCTTCAGTATACACCGAAATCTTTCTGTCGACGTACTTTAAACTTAAAAAGAGGACATAAGACATGAAATTACCAGATATGATTGTGTCAATTATTCTTGCTGATAAAATGTTACAACTTTTCAACTGAATGTAGCTGGTTCTTAAGATGTGCAAAATATTGAGATCTTCTTGAATAGTGAGTTGAACATTTAAATGTTATCTTTTCAAAACTGAATACTTTTTTCAACAGTCAAAAAGCATATCAGCAATGTTTCACCATCATAAATTCAATGGTTTCCAATAATATATTGATTTGATTGGTCGAGTAGATGTTTTGCAGCACTATCGCCACAGTTTGATATATCAATGTGCATTTCCCACCTCCCCCCCCCACACACACAAACACACACACACACACACACACACACACACACAATTGAAAGTTCTCCCCGAATTAAAAGTGCTGGAGATATCGAAGTTCCAAATTATTGTTTCGAGCATAAGCACTTGTCTTACAGTCTTACATTTTGAACTTTTCCGTAAAATCAATGCTTGTCCGATCCGATGAGCGCAGGTTGGTTGAAAACTGCTCTGATTCTGTGTATTATGTTTTTTGTTGATCTTTCTCTTTTTTTAAAAACAACGATGGACAGGTCGAATCTCCCTGATTTTAGCCAAACGAGAATGGTTACCCAGCTATAGACGTCGAAGGATCAACTCAGTTTGTTAGTATTTTAGCTCTTAATCTGCCGCCTGCACTGTGTGCTTCCCAGATAGCTGCTGCAATCAATGTTTCCGAGTGATCGTGGGTCAGCTTGGGTAATAATAACTAATATTATAAAGCGCATACAGCATACTATAGAGCATGAGGAAGCACTATACAAATGTAATAATTATTATTGTACCAGTTGCCCTGATATAACCTGAGAGAGAGAGAGAGAGAGAGAGAGAGAGAGAGAGAGAGAGAGAGAGAGAG